AAAAAAAAAAAAAAAAAAAAAAAAAAAAAAAAAATTTGCTCCGTTGGAGTTTTTAATGAAGTTGTACTTTTTTTTTATCTTTTTTTTTTTTGTTTTAATTTTTCTCTTTTTTTATGTTAATTATTTTATGTTTATTATACTATAACTAATTCAAACGTTATTTTTGATATTTTTATAATTCATAATTTTCATTTTTTTTTTTTTTTCTTCATTTATTTTACATATATAAAGATTATCTAGTTAAAAAAAAAAATAAATAAAATGTATATTGATTTTTTACTTAATTTTTTACAACATAGATATTAAATACAACTTTTTTGCTTATTGTCTAAATTTCTGATTACAACTGAATGGAAATTTTTATAAATATATTTTAGTTTAAATAAATATACATAAAATAGTAATTGAAAAAAAGAAAATTAGTTATTTGAATTTCTTAAGTTATATATATATATATAATAATACATGTTTAGGATAAAAATCTAAAGAATATTTTATCAAGTTATATTTCTGTTATTAAAAGTTCTATATAAAAAAATATATGTAAATAATTAAGATGTTCATAAGATAATAAAAACATTTAGAAAATTGAAAAAAAAAATAATAAATAATTTTTATTTATAATTTATTCTTGAACAAAAATAAGTAAGGATATTAAATTTAAATTAAAAAGAAAAAAAAAAAAAATTTATAAATAAATTAATAAAAAATATATAAAGAAAAAAAAATTAAAGTAAAATTTATTGATATAATAGCAACATCATATTTTTATTTTAATTCTTAAGATGAATCTCCACGAAGTTTAATTTATAACATTTTTTCTAATAAATAATAATAAAAATATATTCATGTGTATATATTATAAGAGAGAATCTAAATTTTAAAGTAAAATTCATTATATTTCAAAATAAAGTTAATAAATATGAATGAAATTTATTAAGATAACTTTAAATATAAAATAATAATATCAATAATAAAAAAAAAAAAAAAAATGTGAAATAATATTTTTTCAAAAATACGAACAAATAACAAAAATATAAATACATGAAAATTTAAAATTAAACTACTTCAAATTAAAAAAATCAAGATATAAGTCATGTCTAATAGTACTTGTATGTACATATAGACAGATATAAAATAATACTTTAAATTATTACATTTTCAAGCATTGTTATAATTTTTTTTCTTTTTCATTTTAATCATAATCTATATGTTTAAAATAACTTTCATTTAAAGGTATTTAAAAAAAAAAAAAAAAAAAAGAAAAAAAATGTAAAGACAAAGAAGGTATATATATAAAAAAAAAAAAAAATCTATTCAGTTGGAGGTTTCATACTAGGAGGAAATGGCAATTGTGGTGGTACTTGAGGTGGCATTTGAGGTGGTACTTGAGGTGGCATTTGAGGTGGCATTTGAGGTGGCATTTGTGGTGGAATTTGTGGTGGAATTTGTGGTGGCATTTGTGGTGGCATTTGAGGTGGTATTTGAGGTGGCATTTGAGGTGGCATTTGAGGTGGCATTTGAGGGGGTAACCTTTGTTGCATATTATTAGCATTTGATATTGGTTGATTTATAGGAATATTCATAGGAATCATAGGTCTTGAATTATTTAATGGAGCATTTGGAGATCTGAAATTTGGATTAACAGCTGGCGTTAAATTTTTTGTAGTACTAGAATTTAATGCCATACCTGTTGGCATATTGCTTATAGGATTTGTTAAATTTGTATTAAAATTATTTTGCAAGGGTACGTAATTACTTAATGGAATTCCTCTTCCTGTAGCTATTCCTTTATTTATTACATTATTCATAGATTTTTTATTAATAGGACCCTGTTCGGCTGTAAATGAAACAATATTTTCTCCTCTTATTAAAATTAAACCAACTACTCTTTTTATTTCCTAAAAAAAAAATAGAAAATTATAAAATTATATATGAACATATGGAATACTAATATTTTTTTTTAGTAACTTCTTATTATTCTAAAAAACTAACACTATATATATATATATATATATCATAATTTATAGAATGAAATATAACTATATATATAATATTCTATTAAATAATTATCCTTAATTTATCATATAGTAAAATGTAGAAAATATAACAAATAATTATTTTATATATTAGTATAAAATCATAATGAAAAACATATTGTTTCTACTTGTCTTAAATATTCTTTTTTTATTAACAAAATTAATGTTATAATTAACATTTTTTAAAATAAATATATTCTTAAAATATAATCATTAACATAAACTTTTTTATTTACATAAAAAAAAAAAATGATTTTTTAATATATATATATATAAATATATATATAAATATATAATAAGAACTAATTGTTATAATTATATTTTATCCTTTTTCATTTTTTTTTTTTTTTTTTTTTTTTTATTTTTCATATAAATATTACCTTAAAACCAGTTTCCTGATCTTTTATTTTTCTAAACTCTTCAGCATCAACTAAAACTATATTCATATGCCTATCATATGAAAGAAAAGTGCCAACAAAATATCTAGTATCACTAACAGTAACCCTAACTCTATAATGTAACCATGTTTCCAAACGTGAATTTTTTCCCATTTTCTTTTTTTCTTTTTTTTTTAAATTTATACTTTAATATTAATAGAAAAAAGAAAATTGGGAATTTCTTCTTTTTTTTTTTTTTTTTTTTCTCTCTTTCTTTTTTTGATATTTATTTGTTCTTTTAATAAATCTTTAAAAAAAAAAAATTCATAATTTTACTATTTGTAAAATCATTATGTTTTGCTTTAAAATTATATGAAATCTTAATTTTAAAAAAAAAAAAAGGGATGCCTTGTAATGTGGAATTATATAAAATTAATTTTTATTTAAAATATAAATTAATGTTTTTAAAATTAAAAAAAAATTATAAAAATCTATTTTATATGAATTACTGTATTAAAAATAACTTTTAAAAAAAAAAAAAAAAAGAAAAAAAAAAAAAAAAAAAATACAAACTAAATTGAATCTAAATAAAATTAATAATTATGTCAAATTAACTTCAAATCTATATAAAAATTCCTATTAATAAAAAATTGTATTGTTAAAATTTCAAAAGTATTAAATATTATAAAAATTTTTTATAATGTAACGAAAACAGAAAAATTAAGAGAATATAAAATACATAGGGACACATAATAAAAATGACTATAAACAAAATAAACAGAAAAAAAAAAAAATACAATAAAATAAAATAAAATAAAATAAAATAATAATTAATAATTTTAATGAATTTAGAATCATTATAATTTTTCTAAATCTTTATATTTTTAAGGAATACATTTTAAAATGTTATTTTAAAATAAAAAGGAAAATGTTTATCCTTTTCATAAAAACACAAAAAAAAAAAAAAAAAAAAAAAAAAAAAAAAAAAAAAAAAAATAATATAAATAATGAAATTTATTTACTTGGAAAAGTAAAGTTGTAAAACAACATTTTAAAAATATTATTTGATAATGTATTCACAAATTTAAAAAAAAAAAAACAGAAAAATATATTAAATAACATATTAACATAGATATTTATTATATTTATTAAAAAGCATATTAAAAATTTGGCAATAGTGATAAACATATAAAACATTTATATTTTCCTTAATATAGCTTGGCAATAATTCATATTCTTGTGCATTATCTCTAGGTATTATTAAAGTACGAATGCCATAATTTTTAGCAACAATAACTTTTTCTATTAATCCTCCTATTTTTAAAATATGTCCATTTAAACTTATTTCACCAGTCATACATAAAGAATTATCTACTGCTATTTTTAAATAATAAGATAAAATAGATGTAACAAAATTTATACCTGCACTAGGTCCATCCTTTTTAATATCACATTCACTTAAATTGATATGCAAATAATCATTTTGAAAATTAGGAATAATTTGATTCATTAAATTAATAGAATATGTATTTGCAATTATTATACTTTCTTGCATTATTTTTCCAACATTTCCAGTTATTATAATATTATAATTAAAATTATCATTCTTGAACCTATTTTCATTATTTAAATGTATGTCCTTTTTTTTATTAAATCCATTACTATAGGAATATTTATCTTCATTAAATGAAAAAGAATTATTTTCATAAAGACATGTATTTTCATTGATACTTTTTAGTTCATTGTCATTTTTGTCTAACAGTTCATACCTATTTTTCTTATAAATATTTTTATTATCATCACTTGATGATAATGAATTTTTCATTTCTGATAAATTATAGTAATTAATTATTTGATTTTTATCATTTAAAGCTAACTCGTTGACAGAAATAGAAAATGGCAAATTACTTTTTTCATGTTTCTCTTTTATTAAAGAATTAATATTATTAGTGTTATAATATTCATTATTATAACATTCATATTTATTGTTTCTGGTATTATAGTATTTGTTATTAGCATTATGATGATTATAATTTTCAATATTGTTATCATTTTTATCATTTTTACTATTATAATTTTTTAACTTGCTATAGTGATGTTCATTATAATTGCAATAAAACTCATCATTATTTACGTAATTCATTTCATATTTAGGATACCGATTTTTTAATGAAAAATTATTTTTTAAACTTGATACTTCTATTGTTACTATTTGTCCACCATTATCCGTAAAGGCTAATGATTTCAATGAACCATCAAAATTGTGATTTTCCTTATTTTTTTTATTCTTAATAGAATCTATATTAATAAAATCATTTAAATTATTTAAATTTATGTTAATTTCTTTTGTATTTCCTTTTAATAACAGATAAGCTCTTTTTTTATAAATATTATAAATTATATTATAAAACTGTCTTAAACCATTTTCATTAGTATAATTATGAATAATATATAATAATAGTTCATCTGATATATGTAAATGAATATCTGTAATCTTTGTTTCCAATTCTAGTTTTTTTTTTAAATAATTTCTGAAAATATGAACTTTTTCTATATTAGTGTAAGGATGTATATTTATGATTTCCATTCTATCTAATAAAACATCAGGAATATTTTCTATTGTATTAACAGTACATATAAAAAAAACATTTGAAATATCAACGGGAATATTTATATACTGATCTTTAAATAATTTATTTTGGTTAATATCAAAAATATTTAAAAAAGTATTATAAATATTAGTATTTATATATGAAATTTTATCAAATTCATCTAAAATTATTAATGGGTTCATAACATTTGTTGATATTAATGACTGTATTATTTTTCCTTCATAACTATTCACGTAAGTTTTTCTATGACCAATTAAATCATTCATATTATTTATATTATTCATATTTATTACATAAAATGGAATATTCAAACACTTACTAATAGATTTACAAATAGAAGTTTTTCCTGTACCTGGATAGCCAACCAATAAAAGTATTTTTGGTTTAATATTTTTATTTAATATATATAAACTTAAATATTCAAGTATATATTTTTTAACATAATTCAATCCATAATGACTTTTATTTAATAAAATTTCACATTCATTTATATCTTCATTTAATAATTGATATTTGTTATAAGGAATACTTAAAACAGTGTTCAAATATTGATAAGTAGATGAATATTCATTACAATTTTCATTATATAATAAAAATTTATTAATCTCACGAGATATGATCGTTGTTGCTTCAATATTCAAATAACTTTTTATAGTATTAAATTTATTCAGAAAATTTTCACATATAGCCTCATGATCACTTTTTTGACAAATTTTCTTTTTTAAACTATTAATATATTCCTTTATTATTAATTCTTTTTTTTCTTTTAAAAATTTTTCATTTAAATCATTTGTTAATTCCTTTTTCATCTTTAACAAAAATATATCTTCATTTAATAAATGCAAACATTTTTTTAATTTTTCTTCTATATTATTACTTTCAAACAATTCTTGAATAGCACTATTTTTATTTATAGTTATATTACCTATAAAATTCACTAAATTATTTATATTTTTAATATTATAATATTTTAATAATAAATTGTATTCATAATTATTTACACTGTTTAAGCTTATTATTTCCTTTATTTTATTTATTATTTCTATATGATATATTTTTATATATTTATTATTTATATCGTATTTTTCATTTTTTATTATATCAAATTCTACCATATTATTTCCTTTCCAATTTTTTATTTTTATTTTTTCTATTAATTCAACAACAATTCTAAACACGTTGTCAAATTTATTAAAAACAAAATTTCTATTATTATCAACACTCTCTTTATTTATATTTTTATCAAATAAATTATCATTATTTATGTCATTATTATTTATATTATTGCTATCTCTATTGTTGTTTATTCTAATTTTACTTAAATTATCATTGCTAATTTGTGTAGAGTTATTTGTATTTTCATCATATAAAATTTCCTTAATTAAACCAATACATCCAATATTATAAATATCACTTAAATTACGAATGTAGTCAATATCTTTTCTTATCAATTTTTTTTTTTCTTCTTCATTTTCTTTTATTTTTAAAGTAGTTCTATTAAGTTCAGCATCACTAAATAAAGAAAATGTCTCTTCATTTTCTCTTTTTCTATTAAAAAATAGTCCAATATATGTTTTTTTCTGTTTATAATTTTTCATATTTTTTATAATACTTTTATCAGCATTCAGGACATAACAAAGCCCTGGAAAAAGTGGTTTATTCATAAGAGCAAAACATTCAATTTCTTTTAATTTTATCTCATTTTCATGAACTATTTTGGATGAACGAGAAAAAAATCTAACTTTAAAAAATTCTTTCCTATTGTATTTTACGAATTTAAAATAAAATAACATGATAATTAATAACAAATATTAAGGAAAAAAAAAAAAAAAAAAAAAAAAAAAAAAAAATGAAGATAAAAGCCAAATAAAAAAAGAGGTGATACTGATAAAAAAATAAAATGTTTTCTTAAAGCATATTTTCATATTCATTTTTATTAAGAATACTAATTTTTTATAAAATTTAAAAAAAAAAAAAATTGTATGATTATACATATATATTATTAAATATAATAAATTCAAAAATATTTTATTCAATATATCATTTTGATAAAAATTGAATTAAAAAAAAAATTATTTTAAAGATATACATAAAGTTTTTTAAAATTAAATATTAATAATTTTTAAAAAAAAATAAATAACATTTATAATATAGACTTTATAGAAAATTAATAATTATAGTATACAAACATATTTTAATTGCATTTTTCTGCATATAAAAATCAAATGATTATACATATAAAAATGTAAATTAATTAAAAAATATGTTACCTAAAATGAATAAAAATATTATATAAACAGGTAGGATAATATTGAAATAAAATTAAAAAATGAAATAAATGATTTACTTTTTTTTTTTTTTTTTTTTTTTTTATTGTGGTAATTCCCATTTTATTGGAACTAAGTTATTTTCAATAAGAATTTTATTACATTTATTAAAATGATCACAATTTTCAAAATGCCTTATACTTAATGGAGATGGATGACCAGCTTTTAATATAAAATGTTTTGTTGTATCAATTTTAGAACATTTTTTAATTGCAAAATTACCCCATAGCATAAAAATAATTTTTTCTTTTTTTTGGTTTATTATGTTAATAACTTTATCAGTAAATGTTTCCCATCCATAATTTTTATGAGATGCTGGTTTGTTTTCTTCAACAGTTAAAGAAGTATTTAATAAAAAAACTCCTTGTTCTGACCAACTAATTAAATTTCCGTGATTACTTTTTTGCTTTATTTCTTTTAAAATATTTTTCAAGCTTGGTGGTATTTTAATACCAAAAGGCACAGAAAAGCTTAATCCCATTGCTTGGTTTTTTTGATGATAAGGATCCTGGCCTACTATAACTACCTTTATTTTTGATAATGGTGTTTTTAAAAAAGCATTAAAAACTAATTGTTCAGGTGGATAAATAACTTTAATTTTTCTTTCTTCTTTTATTTTTAAATACATATTTTTAAAATAACTTTTTTTTAATTCATCCTGTAACTCTTTAAACCATTCTATATCCATTAGTTTTCTTATTTCTTCTATATAATCAGAAGCTTTTTCATTATTTTTTATTTCATTTTCTGTTTTTCTAATCATATTTAAATTATTATCATAAATATTTTTTGTATTTTCTAATTCATCTTTATTCATAATTTTCCTTTTCTTACAATCATTTTCATTTATTTCTGAGTTTTCTAAACAACTACTTCCAATAGATTCTACACATTTATTAGCGTTTTCTTCAGCTTTTGTATTTGTTATTTTCTGCCTTTTACTTTTAAAAAAGTAATCTATTGTTTTTTGAACTTTAACTTTATTCATATGTAAAAATGATATAAAAAAAAATAGTTAAATATATATATATATATATATATATATATATATATATATATATATATATATATATATATATAATTAATATAATTAATAGTTTATAAAATTTTTATATCTATCTATTAAAAAAAAAACTTTATTTAAAAATTAACAATGTGTTCAATAAGTTAAAAAATACAGTTAGACAAAAAAAAATATATTTTTTTCTTGAAATATATAAAAGAATTAAATTTAAAGAAAAAAAAATAATGATTAATGAATTTGTTATTTTCTCATATTTTTCTTTTTTTTCATTTAAAATGTAAATGTAATATTAAATTTAAATCAATACGAAAAAAAAATTTATAATAAAATTATCAGCTTATAATATATTCTTTTATTTAAAAAAAAAAGTAAATAAATTTTACTATTATTTTAATTTTTTTTTCTTTATTTTAAATATATATAAAAATTAAAAAAAATAATATCATATATTGTCTAAATATTAATAAAAGTTAAAAGGTTTTAATAATTAAATGTCATGCTACTTTATTGAACATATCATATATATGTAAAATTCACAAAAAATAAAAAAAAAAAAATTTTATTATGCATTTCTATATTGACAAAAAAAAAAAAAAAAAAATTAAAAAAAAATAAAAAAAATGAATAGGATAACTTATAATTAGTTTATTATTCTGGCATTTATTTAAAAAAAAATAAGAAGATTTTAAGATTTCATTTTATAAAGTAAAAATTAAAAGTTATTTAAATTATTAATAGAAATTTTTTTTTTAATTTCTGTTAGAATAAAATAATAACAATTTAATATATTTTTTTTTTTTTTGTAATATATTTCTAAAAGAATTATATATTATATATTAAAATTGTTTTTAATTTTTTTTTTTAGTGTTTAATCAAAAAAATGCTTTAATAGTTCAATTTTATTAACTTATCTAATTAAGGATACCGTTTATGATTATATGAAGAATACACTTCTTAGAAAAATGAAATATATATTATTCCAAATAATTTTATATAATTTATTTATTTCTATTAACATGCTCTTTTATATATGAGCTAAACATACTCAAAACATTTATAATTTTTTTATTTCATTATGCTTTATTGAAAATATATGAAAAATGAGGCCTTTGAAATTTATAGTAATACTTTTTTTTTACATTCTTAATAATATGTTAAATATAAAAAAAAAAGAAAAAACGAGAGAAAATAAAAAATTGGGTATATAAAATAACTTAATCTACTAATTACATATATATATGTCTTAATAAAAAGTGGCAATTAATTTAAGTATAAAAAAAAATTGTTTTATAGTCTTTATAATGTTATTAAATTTTATCCATTTAATCAATATTTATAATGTGTTTCTCCTTTTCTAATAAAAAATTTGAAAATTACACACAATTTAAATTTCCATTCATAATTACACATTTTATAAAGGAAAATTAAAATTTTTTTTTAATTGCTTAAATTCTTTAAAATATTTTAATTTAAGCATAACACTTTAATTACATTTAAATATTTTTTTTTTCTTTTAATTTTTACATAAATGTATTGAATTTTGTCAAATTTTTTCATTTAAAAATAAATAAATAAATAAAAAAAAATGTAATTTTCACTTTATTGTTTGTTATTTTATTATTTTAAATAACTCAATTCTCCTATCACGAGAACTAATTTTTTACTTTTTAATTATTTAATTTTTTTTGAATTTACTTTTTTTTTTTTTTTTCATTTGTTCTGTTTCATCTTTAATAACAGATTTGTTCTTTTCCTTTTTATTATTATTGTGATATATTTTTCTACTTTTTTTTTTTTTTTTTTTTTTTTTTTGTTTATTTTAATTATATGAAATTTACACCTTTTATATAAATAAACAGTTATTTTATTTATTTTTACTTATTTTTTTTTTTAATCTTTTTATAATATATTTGTCCTATATACTTTTTTTAAGATTTGTCTTATCATTTTTTTAAATAAATATATTCCCTTTATAAATTATTTTGATTGTATTTAATTTTTTCATTTTTGCTTTAATAATTTTAATTATTTATGTCGTTTTAATGAAATTTTATTTACATATTTTTTTTTTTTTATATCTATTAAGGAAATAATAAAAATATATAATTTAAAATAATGGGAAATTTATTATTTACAGATGATTCATCATCGTCTTGTTCCAATAAATGTAGTGAAAATGCAAAAAAAAGTAAAAAAAATACTTGTTCTTCTGAAAAATCAAGAGAACGAAATGATGTAAAATTAAAAATTAATACACATGAAAATAACTTAGCATTATTAAAAACAAAAAACAGAGCGAAGAGGCATAATCCAAGTAATGCTCTATTAAGAAATGGAATTTTCTGTGTAAAATATAAAGTGAAAAATCAGTTCATACCTATGCTTTTGGAGTTAAAAAATACACCTAGATGTGAAATTGTAGTTTTTGATGATTACCGTAATATTATAAAAAAAATATTAATTAAAGATATAGAATTAATTGAAAACTCAATTAACACAATAGATATATTTTTAAGAATAAATGAAGAATATACAGAGCAAAATAAATTTAATTTGTGCAGTTTTATATTAAAAGATAACAATGATAAAGTATCTTTTATTTATAATATAAAAATGTTATATGGTATTGACGTATTAGAATATGGGAAAGTGAAGTATAATAAAATAAATACTGAAGAAGTAGAAGAAAAATACATTTATGAAAAAAATGTTTTAGATAAAGAAAATGAAAATAATTTACAGTCTTTATTAGATGATATAAATAATAATTTATATAATAACATGGAATTATTTGAAAAAAATATTGATGAAGATAAAATGGGTGAAATAATAAATACATGCTTAAAATTAGGAGAAATGCATAATCCTATTATTATCTTAGGTGATATGGAAGATGGTAGCATTATAAAAGTAAAAGAATTGAATTCTTTATCTACTTCAAAGAAAAAAAAAAATATGTCACACGACGATTTTACACTTATAGAATGGTTTTTGTCAAAAGGTATTGGTTCAAATAAAAGTTTTCGTGAAGATTCTATTCATTGTGGAAATAGTTTATTATTAAAATCTTTTATGATAGGTTACTATATAAAAGTTAAAGTTTGTAAAAATATATTTATTAATAATAAGAAAACATTTGTCACTTCAGTAAGTATAAAAGGACCAGTTACAATTAATGATAATACTGCAAAACACGTTCTAAATTATTTATCTAATGCCAATGAATCTATTCAAATTTATTTATCTTCATCTGATATATATAATATATTTTTTTCCTCTAGTGAACCTGATAAAAATATTATAGGATTATTTATTTTTTACCCTGCCTATATATTTATTATGAGAAAAGGTTTAAGATTTGCTATAACCTTAAATGAAAAAAGTTATTCAGTGGATTATGTATGGAATTCTTTTTATTTAACAAAAAAGGACGTATTGTTTGATAAAGCATACGATTTTATACCTTCTTATATAGATATGTCAGATATTCATCTATATTTCATAACTCTAAAGTATAAAAATATATATAATTTTAAATAATACTTATTTTCTGTTCATATCTTTTATTAATTTTTAAAAATATACTTTACGAAACTTTATTTTTATTTAGTATAAATGGGGATAAAATAAAATCAATTATACGAACCAATTCGTCTAACGAGAGAAATGAAATATATACAACTGTGTTTTTTTATAAATATCAAAAAAGGATAATTGTTAAAAAATCAATAAGAATAAAATAAATTGATCATTATTTATTATTTATAGCACTATATATTTTTCCCGTTTATATTAAAAAATTTATTAATCTTATTCTACATCATTTTTTTTTAGTCATAATTCATTTTATACCTTTTATCTATAAATTATTATTTTTCATTCTTTAAATTTCATAATTTAATATTAGTTTTCTTACTTCATTAATCATATATTTTTCCAATTTTTTTTTTTTTTTTTTTTTATAGTCCATGAATGAATGGGTGAGAGATTCATTAGCTGGGTCGTATAGTAAACTTAAAAAAAGATTTGAAAATATTTTTATAGAATTAAAAGGGCAAGATTTAAAAAAAATAGATTTAGTTAATATGTATAATTATGCATAAATAAAACATATAACATTAATTTATTAAATTTTTCTATATTAAAAAAAAAAAAAAAAATTTGACGTTTTAATTATAACAAAACATTGTTTTTTTTTTTTTTTTTTATATTTAAATTTCAATAATTTTTAATACAATAATTTTATAATTTTTTATTTATCTTTTTTTTTTTTCTTCTTTCTTTTTTTTTTTTTTTTCATTTTATTCATTTGATTTATTTTTCTTTTATTTTCTTCTTATTTGTTTAATAATGACGTATACACTTTTGCTTTAATTGTTGACTTAAAGGCAGCAATACATTTAAATTTTTTTTTCACTTACATAAATTTTGTATAAAAATATTTTTAACATAATTAATGCTGAGATTAAAATACAAAAATGGAAGAAAAAAAAAATTTTGAAAATCTGAAAACTTTGACACACGCAACATTTTGTTTTGAAAGTGAAGATCATACCTTAGGTATTTAAAACAAGGAACAATAAACATAAAAATATTATATATATATATATATATATATTATATATGTAAAAATGTTTTATATACGGAAATATTACATATATAGAAATATATTTTTTATGATAAATTTATTTTTATATAACAAATCCCAATATACATATTGTCACAATTTAACTATATGAAGTATAAAATAGTTAGCTTTTTTTTTTTTTTTTTTTTTTTTTTTTTTATGAATATCTTTTAAATTAAATTGTTTTTAATTTTTTCATTTTTAAAACAGGAAATTGTTTACGTTGTATTTTACTTCAAAAAGAAGGTGTAGAATTTGCTGGATACACAGTACCTCATCCAACACAAGCAGAGATTAATGTTAGAATTCAAACAACAGGTTGATAAATAATTATATTTATATTTACTCTCATTCTTTTACTTATTATTTTGACACTTATTATATATTATACTTTTTTTATTTAAGGGAAACCGGCTTTAAATATTTTAAAAGAATCATTGGATGATCTCTCCAATATATGTGATATTATGTTGAACAAGTTTAATGATGTATTAAAATATTCGTATTAAATTATTTTAATTTATTTTATTTTTTTTTTTGTTTAATATTTTCTATTTTTCTATTAAAAATTGTAACGCTTTTTAAAAATTTATTTAAAAAATAATTATAAAAAAGAAAAAATCATTATATTAATTTTTTTTGTCATCTTAATTAAAATAAAATTATTATAAAATAACTTAATTATTAAACAAATGGTAAAAATAAACAATATATTTTCATAAAGGACACTAAAAGGAATTACGGAAATAAACTTAATTTAATATATGAATGTAAATTTCAGAAAAAAAATAGTATTTGCATATATCAAAAATTATATCATTTAAAAATTACATTATACGTAACTTATATTTATAATTAATGTAAGTTTGTACAAAATTTTATAATAAGAACATAAAAAGATTATATGTATGTATTAATAATATTTTATAAAATCAATTTCATTTATAAATTTAAAGCATAATAATATATTTTTAATTAATAAAAAAAAAAAAAAAAAATGAAATTCTAAATTATTTATTCATAATAGATGCAAATAATATAGACATATTTATATTTTAAATACATGTATATTTTAAATACGTATTTCGTAGAAATATACAAAAATGAAATCTGTGATAAATTATTATGTATGTATGAATAGGATTTTTCAAATAACAAGCTAAAATTATCTTTTGTATTATATATATTTAAAAAATTATTTAACTTAATACTATTTTTATATATTGCCATAATAAAATTTGTTTCTTTTATTGAAAATATATACATGTGTAAAATGGTTCCTTATTTTTCTAAAAATTTTAATATATATTATAATTAATGATATAGTGTAATACTTGTAACCGTATGAGAACAGAAACATTCTTTATATCAGTTTTTAATAATTAGAAATTCAGTAGTAATTTTTTCATTTATATAATTTAAATGTAAATTACATTTTATAATGAAATATCTATTTTAAAAATTTCGTAATATTATATATTTAATAATTAATTGTATCATATTTAGAAAATTAATAATATTTTATTCCATATTTTATTTTTAAAAATAAAAAAATAAGTAATTTTGATTAGCCTATATCATCAATATAATAAAAATTTGATATTACATGTATTTATTCTTGTTTTAACAATTGCAATACTTTAAAGGTTTGAAATATTTTTTTTCCTTTAAAAACAATAATATTATATTTTATTTATTACCTATATATTCCTCTAGAATTTTCATTTATACATACAATTTCCATCATTGTTTACATGCATGAAAAAGGGGAAATGCATATAAATAAGGTTATGATAAAATTTGAAACAATAAGAAATTACATTATTTCAAAAATAAAATATTTATTATATTATAATTTACTAGATATTTTTAGGTCTTATTTTTATAATTAAAATTTATGTTATAACAGTGATTAAAAAAACTTTATTTTTTTATTTAACGAATCTTTTATAAGATTAAATAAATAATATTTATTTAATATATGTGCAACTGGTTAGGATTAATTTAATTTTTTTTCTTTTCATAAAACAAAAAAAAAGTAAGCCAAACAAAACATTTTTAATCTATTTCAAGATTTTCTAAAGCATTTTTTAACACTTCATAAAGTATTCTGTAATCATATTAAATAATACAAAAATAAGTTTCTTATTTTACTTTTAAAAATATACTTTTCATGAATGCTATTTCAAGTTTTAAAAAAAAATATTTAACTAAAAATAAAATTCTTAACTGTTCATATGAAAAATAAATATATTAGTATTTACAATTTCTAATATTCTGCTTATGTTAATAATATAATAACAAAAAAAAAAAAAAAACATCAATAAACACATATATACAAATATTTATAACAGCATTGAAACACAGATATAAACACAACTTTGTATGTGCATATAAAAAAATAAGTTTTTAAATAATTACTAACATAAATTATCTAAACAGTACTTTTTTGTAAAATATGAAATAAAAATATACACATATATATATATATTTAAATATTTATTAAATAAAATAAAAATAATATTTTTCTTCACGAATAAATATATTATATAAAATTAATTCTTTGATTAAAAATTATTAAAATATTAAATTAAATTACCCACAATTTTACATCATAGACAAAAAAAAAAAAAAAAAAAAAAAAAAAAAAAAAGCAATATAATAAAATAAATTATATAAAATAATTTTTAAAAAATGTTTCTATGAGAATAATCTTTATGATTATTTTTAAAGAAAACAAAAAATGTACATGAATATTTTATTGTACATATATTTAAAAAATAATTACGTAATAACTTTACCTAAAAGCACACAAATTATATTTTTTTAATAAAAAAATAAATAAAAATTAAAATGCGAAAAAAAACTAATAAAACTAAAAAAAATGAAATAAAATAAATAAAAAATATATTATAAAAACAAAAAAAAAAAAATAATAAATTTTACGTTAAAAAAAAATTTTTCTATACATTGTTTTTATATTTTAATGCAAGTTTTATACTTTAAATAATTTAATAGTAATGAAGTTTGAAACTACTACATTTATAAACATCTTTTTTCTTTACTTTTTAAGTTTGTGTATTATTTGCTTGATTTAATAAAAAAAAAAAAAAATAAAAAATAAAATAAAGTTATTTCATAACAAAATCTTTTTGCTTTATTATTAATACAAATAAATAAAAGTTAATATATATATAAATGAATAAATTAAGAAATAAAAAAAAGTAAAAATTAAATATAAATATTTACATATATATACATATATATACATATATATATATATTTATATATTTTTTTAAATAGGAAAACAGATACACATATGTTTATTTAAAAAGAAATATAACATTTTCTTTTTTTTTTTTTAAGGTTTTTATTTTTTTGAGTTATTTTTAAAAATTATTATTTGCTTTCAAGGATTATTCTTATGTAATACCTTATAATTTTTCTTCGAATCATTCTAGTAACAGATATTATTCATCTATTTTTATTTTTTATTTATTTTATTTTTTTAAAGAATTATTGAGTTCACACTTTACTTTGTAGAAATTTGAATAAAAATATATTCTTATTTTAATATTGTTATAATTTTTTTTTATTTTTAACGTTTTATTAGTGTAAGTTTTTCATACATTGTTTATAAATTTTTTTTTCTATATATATTTGTGCCTATCTCTTTAGTATAAAGATTTATAAACATATTTATATATTTTCTTTTTTTAGCTTTTATAAATTTAAAAAAAAAACGTAACTTTTTTTTTTTTTCTTTTTTAATTATCGTTAACCATGAGTTACTATATAATTAGTGTAAAAATTAAAATATAAATACTTTTTTTTTTCTTTATAAATTTTCTTTACACTTGTGAATTGATATTTGGTTAGATAAATTATTCTCTCTTTTTTTTTTTTTTTTTTTTCTTAATTTGTTAAAAAAAGGAAAAAAAAAAAAAAAATTGAAAAGATATACATTAAGACATTGTAAAATTACGAAAGAAGTTACGAAAACACCATAATGGAGGAAAAAAATCAATCAGAAAAAAGAAATAAATCTAATGGGCAATTATGTTTTGTAAAGATGTTAGTCAATAATTTAGTTGCTGGTTCTGTTATAGGTAAAAATGGTTCTATAATTACAAGTATAGAAAATAAAACAGGTTGCAATTTAAAGTTATCACCTAATAATTCCTATTTTCCTAATACACAAGAAAGAGTATTAGTATTATGTGGAAAACAAGAGCAAATAAATAGCGCTCTTTTAATAATTTTAGATAAAATTAGACAAATAGCTTCTCATCATTTTTATGATAAGCAGAATCCAAATGCAACACCAAAATATACATGTAGAATAGTTGTACCAAAGTCAGCTGTAAGCGCAATAATTGGTAAGGGAGGGCAACAAATCAAACAATTACAAGATTCTACTGGATCAAAAATTCAAATATCAAGTCGTGAGGATGGTTTAAATGAAAGGATAATTACTATAATTGGCACTTTTGAATCAATTAGTGATACAGCTTTGAAAGTAGCTAATTCTATACAGAGTGATCCTAATTTAAAAGATTTATTAAATGTTATTTATAATAAAGAATCTAACTATAATTCACGAGCATTAACTCATAACTTTATTAATCAACTTCATTTAAATGGGTATGTAATACCACAACAATATGGAGTTTTTCAACATGATCAATATATGGATGTAGGAATGATGAATTCTCTAATGAGACATAGTCGTGATTTATTTAATTTACCATGTGAAATATCGATACAAATTCCTGATGAATTCATTGGATCCGTTATTGGAAAAAACGGTTCCAGACTTACAAATATTATGAACAGTACAGGTGCACAAATAAGAATAAGTAGAAAAGGGGAATTGATACCTGGAACTACTGATAGAAAAGTTAGAATAATAGGAACAGTTGCAGCTGTACATGCCGCACATGTCTTACTGTTACAACGATTAGAATCTGTTTATATGCAAATAAGAACTATGCAAGTAAAATGTGATGCGTAACAATTTTTTTTTTTTTTTTTTTTTTTAATAAATAAATATATATTAGTGTACATGTGAAAAAATAAATATATGTTTTTAATTTTATTTGATATAAAAAAGTACATTTTCATTTATGCATTTTAAAAAGCATTAATCTTTCATTTTATATTATCCTAATATATTTTTTTTTTTTTACTTAATTATTAGCAATATGTTTTACCTAATCTTTATTTTATAAAATAATTATTTAATATAAACATTATATTTTATTTATTATTATTTTTATACCTAATATAGTATTAATCTAATGTTTAAATAAACAATAACCCCATTTTTTATTTAATAATAAAATTATATAAATTTTTTTAATCTTACAATTTATGTTATCTTATATATTTTTTATTTTGTATAAGAAATGACATAATTCTAAATTTTATATCAAAATACTTTTTTTTATATTTTACAAATGCATATTTTTTTTTTTTTTTTTTTTTTTTTTTTTTTTTTTTTTTGTTGTAAAAAATTAAAATATATATATATATATATATTTAAATGAAGGGTAAAGTTTTTACAAATTATTAAAAAAAAAAAAATACATAATTTGTTATGAATAAATATATATTTATACCATATATCTTCCAATTTTAGATATATATATTTTAAAATGTATGTTAATAAAAACATAAATAATTTTACTTAATTTTAAATATTTTTAATAATACATTAATACTGCAAATTTAAACTACATAACAAAATTTAGAATAAAAAAAAAAATAAAGTTATGTATGATATTGTTTCCAATTATATAACAATTAAATTTCTTTTCCTTCTAATGTTACAATATATAAAAATATCTACTCTTTTTTCATTTAATGATTTCCCTAATATCTATTGTTTCTATTTTGAAATATAAGAATTCATTTTAAAAAATTCAAAGTAGGATTTAATATATATAAACTACGTAAGAATAGTCATCTACAAAATTATCACTATTACATATATTTACATAAAATTTATATTAAACAAAGATAAAGAAAAAAAATTAATGAAAAACATAAATTAAATTATTAAGTATTAATATTTCCTAATAAAAAGAAATATATCTGTGAAAAAGAAAATATATATATTTTATAAATTAGTGTTAACAACGATTTAAAAAAAAAAATATTTAAGACATTAATAAATGTAAAAATTTACATGTATCTCCTCTTATTTCTTTTAAATTAATATATCATTATATATATATAGTATAAACTTGAATTACTTTTTCAAATATCCAAAAATAAATATTTAAATTTGAATAAGATGAAAAAAAGGTAAAAATATAGATAAACAAAATGAAGTATATAATATAAAAATAGATTTATTTTTAATATTTTTTCATAGATATGAACTTACAATAAAATATTTTTATAAATACTTTTCCATGTTTTAATGCTTTAATTATATTCTATATTGGGATTATTTTTATTCAAATAAGAAAATTTCATAAAAAATATTCCTTTTAGATCTTGTAGGAGGTATATATATATTTTTTTTTTTTTTCATGTTACCTACATATATATATATGTATATATATATATTTTATTTGTATATAATATTCATTTAAATTTATAATACTAAATTATTCTTTTTAATTCTTATTAATTTAAAATATTAGTATTATTTTAATGCCTTGATTCTTACATAAACGACATATAATTTATATTTTAAATGGTACACTGAATTCATAAAATTTAATTTAACGGTTTTTTTTTTTCTTCTTTCTAAAATAATTTGGTTTCTCTTTTTATTTATGTATTTCACTTACGTATTTCTATTATTTTTTACGTATATGATTTTTAAAAAAATTTGATTTTTATTATTATTTATGTATTTTACTTATATATTAATATTATTTTTTAAGTATATAAATTAATAATTTTTTTTTATATTTTTACTTTTTTTAAACTTTTAAGATGATTCATTCTTAATAGTTCAAATGAAATTTATAATTCTATAAAAAAAATTAATAAAATTTGTGAAAATGTTCTCAAAAAAAAAGATAAATATTCTTATCTTTTATGTGAAAATCATATATTTTTAATAAAATCATTGCTTATATTTGTATCTAATATATATAAGGAATGTTTAATTATGCATAAAATGCACATTTAAATAACTTTTTTTTTAAAAATAATAATTCTTTAATTAAAATAATAAAAAAAAAAAAAAAATTAATGTTGTTTTTGTTTTATTTTATTTTAAACTTTACTATAATTTTTTTTTTTTTAAAAATATCATGCTAAAATTTCAAAAATTATATGGTTGATGGGTTTTAATTTTTGTTTATTTAAAAATATATACATAATGTATTTATATATGTATATTTTAATTTGTGCCTTATCTTATTTTTATTATATCGATTATTTAAGTTTATGTATATAATAATTGTGATAGTTTTAATTTTTTTTTTATATATGTATTATTATTTTTAGTTTACTAATTTTTTTTCCTTTTTATATTGAATTTATTAAAAATTTATTTATTATTTTTCTTAAAAAAAAAAAAAAAAAAAAAAAAAAAAAAAAAAAAAAAAAAAAAAAAAAAAAAAAAAAAAAAAAAAAAAAAAAAAAAAAAAAAAAAAAA